TATATAAAGACTATAAATGAGTACAAACAGGTCACGTGGTTGGTCAAATTGACCAACCCATGTTGAGAGTTAAAACCACATACAACTTCCCAACTAATTTCAACAAATTCACATTTTTGACAATTAAACAAACCAAATTATAATATTCAATTTATGTACATAAATTTTATCATTAGTACATAATTCCCACTGATAGCTATGAAAATACTTTTTATCACAAATCAACAAAAAGGTTTTACCTTGTGATAAGATAATCCACTGACTACAACACCTCTCTGTGGGTCTTCCCTAACAGCAAGTGGAGGTGATGGCATGAGAAGATCCCGAATAGTTTCATTATAAACCTGTAAAGCAATACTTAAATAACTAACACAAGGTAATTTCAAATGTGAATTTTTTCTCTCTTATCACACTTTTAACATCAGCTCACCAGTGCTGGATTTCTTGTTTAGTTCAGGTGCTAAGTTCTTTATGGCTAATGTTTCTTTTAATCTTAGCCACTGCTCATTTTCAGCCTTTCCAATAATTTGGAACTGTTCAATTTCTACATTTACATTCACGCATTCTTCTTTATGTTGGAATGCATGAATGTAAATGTACAAATTGAACAGTTCCGTGGCTAAGATTAAAAGAAACATTTGCCATAAAGAACTTAGCACCTGAACTAAACAAGAAATCCAACACCGGTGAGCTGGTGTTAAGTCTTTAAAGCAACAGATAAAATATTGAACAGCTTTTGGATAAAAATTATATATATATATATATATCTTTTTATATCTGTTTTAGAAACACAAAGTTAAGTTTAGAAAATTATTCATGAAATTGAATTAAGTTCAGTCTTACATTTTGGTTTTCACAAGTACCTGGTACTGGTGTAAGTAATAGCATATTATTGAACACAATATTTATGAAACAGATATTCATTTTCATCAAGCATTAGCTAATATACTTCACTTCTATTAGGTATCATCATATAATAGATTTCTCTGTCATACAAGATGCCGTAACATTATATATCTATCATTTGTAATTTAATTTCACTGTAAATGACTAATAAAAATATGAGGGCCAGGTGGAGAATGGGAATGAACAAAGGAGTTGAGTAAGAAATGAAGACGATGAAATTGAGAAAGAAACAGAGATCCTTTAACTGAAAGAAAAGATTCAGGTGATGGAGTCTCAGGCAGCAAAGGGGATACAGATTCAGCAAACAAATATTGGAGAAAAAGAAAACAAAAGACATATACCTGTAGAATCCAACCAGTGAAGAATGAATGTGGGATTACCTGATCTGTGTTAAGAAGAGGCAACAAGAAGCAAAGGCAGGCGTGAAAACAACTGTAGTCAAACATGTTACACAATGGGGCAAGCTCAGATGAAGATAAGAATAGAACAACCACATGGTGCACATTGGTACTAATATCATTGACAACCAAAGTGTTTCCAGCTTGTATTAAAGTACTGGAAGACTCTTGTGAAGTAGTATTAAAAAACCTTGGGAAATGTTAGAAACATGTGAATATGAACATATAACCCATTAAACCACGAAAATTGTATTGTATTGGTCCATTTATGTATAATACGTAATAGACAGAGTTTATTTTTATTAATAGTTAAAAAGAAAATAAGACAAGTATGGGATGGTGTATAGGTCTAATGACAACCTTCAAGAGTACTGGACAAAATCTGTATATTGATTAAACAACAAGAACAGACAGTAGGAAATATTCCAAAAGTACAAATTTGAATACAAGAAAATCAAATAAAAAATAATTCATACTGGGAAAAACTTATATTTTGCATATGGAATACTTTTTGGTTGTAGTATTTTGTATCCGAATGCACAAAGTTTATGAAATTTAAAGGCAGTGATGTGTATTTAAAGTAATTAAAACCTGACTAGACGACTCATGAAAGAGGTTAGGTAAAGAGTTTTGAACAAACCTGATAGCTGTATAGGATGTCTCAAAAATTGTGAGGTTAAACCTATTTCACAACATGCGATGCACACCAAACACCTCTAGTACAAAAGATATCAAGCTGAATATCTAATCAAAAATGACAAACTGATCAACTTAACTAGTAAGAGACACCAGGTCTAGTAGTGTTTTCAAAACTTGGGTATCAAAAGCAAGTATTAAAAGTCAATTGAGTGACGGTACTGGTACTCCAAGAGTCTATATCCAAATTCACACACACAAACACTGCTGTCTGACGCTGGGCCTCTGAGGGACGACAGCTCTCTTCCTCAAATGCTTTTCTGTTTGTAATGCATAATACTATCTATTCTCTCCCTTACACATATGGTGATGTCATTCATACTTCTAATTTACTTTTTGCATAATTTAAAAATGTTTAAAACTTCCCATTCACACATGATGACATTGCCATATTTCCCTACTCCTAATTTCATTTATGCACAGTTTACTGAAGCTTAAAAATCTTACATTGCACACACACATTACTATTTAAATTATTTATATATGATGAATAAATAACGAGTTCAAGCAATAGTAACACTAATATGTTAAGGTTCCTTTTTCAACATATACAGAAACATTGGATTGTACTTATGAATGACAAGCATTAGGAATCACTTTCTTAAAGCAGAAATTAGTGATACCTACATTTTTAATGCTCACAATTAGGATGCATATGTATGTACAAATTCAACAATTGAGCTAATAACTTTGTTATTCAACCTGTTGTAAATTTTTTAAGTGGGCAAAAAAAGCAGCAATTACTATTACATAAAATAATCAATTAATAAAAATTAGTGTTTTTGATTGTTCCAACTAACTAAATAATTGAAATATTACCACTATGATTTCTCATTATTATTTTTGATTTATTTAAGGTTGCTCAGTTTAATCAAATAGTGTCATGAATCACAAAAAACAACAACAACTAGTGTTTGATTATTCCAACACTCCAAGTCTCACGTGAGAGTAATTCATTAGTTGAGTTAATAAATTAATGAGCCACACATTCAATTATCAAATCCAAGTAACTGCCCAGAACTAGTGTGCATTACTTTTTAAGATAATAAGGTAACAAGTATTAGTATATATATATATAAGACAACTTTTCTCTTTTGTATCTATTTTGTACTGTAGTTATGTGTGCATAATTTGAAGTAAGATTAGTAAAAATTGTCCTTAATACTTACTACTTGTCAAATGCATTGTGCTAATACTCTAAATTTACATTCTGAATCATGCTACACACATTAGCATTTATTGTTGAATGATATTTGTGTTGAGAAAATTTAATGCTGAATTTAATTGTTGGTACCAAAGTATACTGAACACAAAACCTTCTGTTTACAACAAAGAAAATTTAAAAAAAAAGATTGCTGCATTTACACACTTACTTACAATTAATAACAATACTGGCTTAAACTGTACCACATTACAATATCATGAAAAGTCTTTTTGTAACAAGGTTGTAAAATGCCTTAGCTGATGGAGCATAACATTTAATAGGCATATACATGCAATATTATATCACAATAAAACTTATAATAACTGAAACCATGTTATTATTTATTAATAAACAAACCATCCAAATTACCAGTTACTTAAAAAAAAATATGATAAACACATAAACTATAATTTGAGAAATTATTTTGATGTTTTACTATAGCACAAGTCATATTTCTTATCGTTATATGCAAATATTGTTTCGTAAATCAAATTTAACAGATGCTGTATTGTAAAATTTTTATTGTAATACCAACAATCTTGATATTACATTGAACACCTAATGTTCTTTGCTACAGCATTGGTAAAAAGAGTTCTCTGTGGGTGTTACTGACCATTTGTCTTCTCTTTGATTGACAGTTCAAAATGTTGGGATGGTAACAGTTAGCCTTAGTAGCTCTGTCATAACTGAAACTTGTTCAGTTTCCGATACATATCATTTGAACTTGCACAAGATGCTATTGCAGCTTCTGTTGGCACAATTGCACATGATGACATGCATACGTTCTTGTGCACAACTAAAAAATGTGTGCAGCCTATTGTCTGTTGGTTACATAACTATCCGTAGCGATGCTTGTTCTTCCTGTTTACCTTGTTTGAACAAAACAAATGTACCTTTAACTTAATATTACAAGTTATAAGCATAACCAGTGTTACTTAGGGTAAAATTGGTTCAATAAAGTTATAACAATTTAATATTCGTAAAACAGTGTTTAGTGCCGAATAACTTGCTCAGTTAACTGTTTTTGTAAGAATTTATTAGACATGGACTTATAACAGTCTGACAATATGTTACACCGTTAAGTTGTTAATCTATTTGTAAGAACATGACACATTTAATTGTGACTAGCTCTAGCTAAATAGGAAGCACTGAAAAAGGAAAACAAGATTGTCATCACATGCATCTAAAACAGTGCCTAGTACAGGAACCTAAAAGTTTAATTTATTGGTTTCTCAGCATGCTCTTGTGTTTATACAGTTTATTACATATTGATCATTGTCAAAATTTGTAGGGAGATATACGTGGAACAGTATTAATCATATTTCCACCTTGTTACGGGTTTCATACTACATTGGTGTCTGTGATACAGTTTGGGATTAAGAAAGTAAGTTCATCCTAAATTGTTGTACCTGAAGGTGTCTATCATATTAAATGAAGGATAGTTCAAAGAAAACCCAAGACAAGATGAAAATAGGAAGAATAAATAGTCTTGTATGAGAATAACCAATTAATTGAATGTAATACATTAATGAACCCAATGACTGATCAGTAAGCAGCTTCAAATAATTGCCCATTTCTAGTCAGCAGTAGTTTTTGCAGACTGCAACATTAAATAGCCAAATGTGTAGGTTTGTGCTAGAAAACAAAGAAATCATGAAACAAATAAGATTGACTGTCACATTATAACACTCTTTGGGCAGGATGACTTGGTGGTTGCTCGTGAATTGGAGTTTGTAACTTTGATTCCCAGTGCCACCAAACATTTAGTATATTTATTTTAATATTGTCATAATTATTTGGAAAATATAAACAACTTCTAATTTTGGACAATATTTATTACTTACATGTATGTTAGTAATGTCTACTTTATGTGAATTAACCCACACACAGATTTTTAAGTTGCAACTGTCCAATTTCTCTTTTGCCACGAAATAATACAACTGTGGCGAAAAACAAAGTCCACATCAGTTGTTTTCCAAATGATGATTAATTTATGAACTTCACACGAACAATATTCACCATCATTTTAGTTGTGCTGATGAGAGCTGTAACTGCAGTTATCAGCTTGACAAAAATATCAAATAAGATAAAATATATCATATTCTAAGCAGGATGAATTCATCTCTTGTAGTTGCAGTGTTGTAAAGTAAACCACTCATTGAATCAATATCTAAAAATTCACCATATCGTTAGCACTTTTGTGGTAATTCTATCCAAAATAATCAGTTCTCTTTATAATTTATTCATCTTTGGTGAATCACAGATGTTTTCAAGAGTTTCCTAAAAATTTCATGCAATTCACAATGTAATTATCTGTGTTTCATGTCTTCAAGACTAAAAATAATAAATCTGAAACATTTAATTTTTTTAAAAACATTATATGCTTATCTTATAACTTAACATAAAATAACATTAAATTAACAAGGGACCTTTTAATCCATCAAGGCCATCCCATTCACTAAATTAACATTAAAAAACTCAAATCCAGTCCTTATCATTCAAATATTCATTAATCTTTACCTTAAATTAACTGCTTCCATCACATCTGAAAGCAACTTGTTTCAAAAGCCAACCACAATGTTAGAAAAATAAAGTTGTCTTAGCTAAAGATGACTCCTACCCTGCCAGAATTTATATTTGTTTCTCCTAGTCTTACCATTCTCAACAACATATATGAAAAAAGATAATGCATCAACACTACCAATTCCCTTAACATCAACTTAACTCAATCAGATTTCTTAAAAACTCTTCTTTTTTTCAAGATAAAACAATTTCAGAGATCTTAATCTATTCTCATATAACAACCTTTCCATCCCAAGTATTATCCTAGTAACCCTCCTCTAAACCCTTTCCAACAAGTCAATGTCCTTTCCAAGGTAAGCTGCCCAAGACTAAACACAGTACTCCAAACGTGACATAACCAATGACCTATACAAATACATTATAGCTTCTTTAGACTTGTATTCAATATTTCTGTACATAAAACCTAAAATCCTATTTGCCTTACCATTAGCAATAGTACATTGCTTGGATGTCTTAAGAGACTGATCAACCAGAACAACAAGATATTCTTTCTACCATAATACTTTTAAGGTTATTCCCATCAAAATTATACTCATAATTCAAACTGTGATACCCCATATGTATTACCTTACATTTACTATAATTAAAAGCCATCCTCCTCACAGCCAGCAACACCCAAAAATTTAATATCATCAACAAATTTAAATAATCTGTTGACTATTCCTTCATTTATGTTGTTGGTGTAAATCAAAAAGAGTAAAGGTCCTAAAATCGATTCCTGAAGTACCTCACTTGTGACATTAATCCAGTTTGAGTGAACTCCATCTATAACAACCCTCTGCTTTCTTCCATCTTACCAGTTTTCTATCCAATGAGCCAATCTATCCACCATACCTACAGAGATAACTTTTTAACAAGCCTTTTATGTGGCACCTTGTCAAATGTTTTCTGAAAACTCAAATACACAAAATTCACACCTGTATCCTCATTTGCATAAGCATTAACCTCTTCAAAGAACATCAAATTATTTATAAGGCAAGATTTCCTCCCAGTGAAACCATGCTGATTATCCACCAAAATGTTAAACTTTATCAAATGACTATAAAAAGAACCTTTTCTCACTATTGATGTTAGACTAATATTCCTATAATTACTAGGAAAATTTTTATCACCTCCCTCGAAAAGAGGAATAACATTAGCCAATATTAGAAGAAATAGTAGCATGTAGCTCACTTATCCAATTCTTTAAACTCCTTGGTTAAATATTATTTGGCTCAAGAGCGTCACCATTCTTTAAACTTCACAATTTCTTCTTCAGAAGCTCAGAATTCATGTGCATAATCATCTCATTCAATTTTATTTTCCATTTAGCAACTGTTGAAGATGACGAACACTGCTTATATCTTAATTAGTAAAAATTAAAGAAAAAGTAGAATTTAATAACCCAGCCATCACGTAATCCTCAGATATGTCTCATTCCTCAAAGGCCT